TAATGATGCATAATTTGCTGAATATATAAATTCACTCCTGAATTATTTATCGAATATATAAATTTATTTTTGAATTTTTAATTTGATAACATCTTTAAATTTTACTTTAACTCATCAAGCACTTTAATTCATAAATTATATATATTCAATTTGTAAAATTATTTTATTTAACACTTAGCTTACAAAATTAAATCAATTTAATACTTATGAAATAGTTAAAAAAAAATATGAAAATAATTATTTCAAAAGTTATACTAACTCCACATTAAATCAATAGTTTACATATACAAACTGAAAACTCGAAAAATGTTGTTATTAACGTGGAAAGTTATGCAATCTTACTAAAATTTCTAAATTTAATCAACATCCACAAAGTTGAAAATGTTACAAGGTTAAAATTGCAAAGCTCCGTCATAAATTTAGGTGTTGAAAGTCCATATTCCCACTATTGAAACGAACAAATGAAATTAAATATTTTTTAAAAAGTATTCTGACTTTATTCTTTCTTTCTAAGTATATAGTAAAAAAAACTATCATTTCAATAAAAGATATTAATTTTTATTGATTTGATCCATAAGTGAAATTGAGACTCAATCTAAATAAATTTTTCCCATTACATATTTACTTCGCATTGGTTATGAGCCTCCGATCAACAACAACTCTTGAAAATTTCTCCTTTTTCTTTCCTTTTTACTCATCATGATACACAAAAATAAATTAATAATATAAAGTTTTTTTTTTTTAGTTTAACAATCTTATAATATTTCAAATGCCAAAGTTACTTTCAACTAAAAAACAAAAAAAATAAGTCATCTGTTCATTAAATTATTTTTTCACAAAATGAAATCTAATATATGAAATAAGTATAAAACTTCGAATTTTAAATGTACAAAACAAATATAAATGCTTTGTTACTATAAATTGATATCAAGTACCAATATAGCTTTTTTTTTTTTTTTTTTGTTCAAAGTTTGGTAGCGGTGCGAGCAACGCAAATTTGTCAAAGAGGATTAAATAGTACACTTGATTTGTCTGTCAACAAAATTTCTATTTCTTAATTGCATTTTCAGTGTAAAATTCTGTTTCTTCAGCTATTATTTGATGTACCATGTGGGATTTTTTTGTATTCCAAACCCTAATATGGCTACTAATTTTCTTTTTTCCATTTTTATATGATATAATTAAACACTAAATTATACGTTCGATTCTGATATAAATACTAAATAAACCTACTCATAGCGGGTCATGAAATCCAAAAGTCATATTGAATTTTTTTTTTTTTCCCTTTCTTATGGATGATTTTTTTTTTTTTTTTTTTTTTTAAACCTACTCCATAAGCGGGTCATCGAAATCCAAAGTCAATATTTGATATTTTTTTTTTTTTCCCTTTCTTATGGATGATTTTTTTTTTTTTTTTGTTATGATTGACTCGCTATGCTTATTGATTTGTAACATAAAACAATTAATTTTACATAATGAGTTTGTGCAGTTGTTTAAAAATATGAAATTAATAAACAAACATTTGTTTTTTTTCCATTTAAGATGTTAGATAACAACGTTTTTGTAAATAACTATTGGCTGACGAAATAAAGAGAGTGTGAAAAAAGGTTGTAATATAATGCAGTTTGATCATGCTACTTTGTTTTGAATCCACCATGTGTTTTTTTTTAGCGTATTAAATAAACTTTACTTTTCATTTTTCAATTTTTAAAAAAAAAAAGTCCAAATAAAGGTAACTTACGTAAATAAAGAAATAAAGAAGGCTTTTCGGAAAAAAAAATAATAACAAAGGGTTAATAATTTTTAAAATCAATTAATTATTGGATCTGATTTTGGTTCGTATCAATAGATTATTTTGAAAATAATATACCCAATACTACTGAGCAATGGGTTCTATCCATACACCTAATAAGTATTCTTATGACTCTAAAAGAACACCATTAGAGGACACCATATCTAAGAATACACACACGTTAATACTATTACGTATTCACATGCACACGATGGGCGATGATTCATAAAACAGATTGGTATCCCACATAGCATATGTGATAACAAGACTAATTAGTTTGGCAAAATAAATGACTATTAAGGACTGAAATAGATTTTTTTTTTTTTTTTTTTTGTTGATTGACTCGCTATGCTTATTGATTTGTACATAAAACAATTAATTTTACATAATGAGTTGTGCAGTTGTTTCAAAAGTATGAAATTATACAAACATTTGTTTTTCCATTAAGATGTTAGATACAACGTTTTTGTAATAACTATTGCTGACAAATAAAAGAGTGTGACAAAAGGTGTAATATAATGCATGTTGATCATACTATTGTTTTGATCCACCATGTGTTTTTTTAGCGTATTAAATAAACTTACTTTTCATTTCATTTTTAAAAAAAAAAAGTCCAAATAAGGTAACTTCACGTAAATAAGAATAAAGAAGGCTTTTCGGAAAAAAAAATAATAACAAAGGGTAATAATTTTTTAAAAATCAATTAATTATTGGCTGATTTTGGTTCGACAAGAATTGAATATATACCCATTCCTAGCATTTTTCCTACACCTATAGTATTATGCTCTAAAAGAAACACATTAAACCCATTAGAACACACGTTAATACTATTAGTATTAACATCACGTGGCGATACAAACGTGTCATGAAAGGAAGATATATTTGGCAAAATAAATGAATTAAGATGAAAAGCTTATAAGGAAATGTGCCAAAATAAATATATTTGGCGATACAACTTGATTACTTTAACCTTTTCATATTTACAACTTTTATTTTGATATTTCAAACTCTTAACATAGGATTACACATATTAAACATCTCATCTTATAATATTGAGTACTTCAATTTACAAAATTATATCAATTAAATATATATCAAATAGTTAAAAAAGGTGAATATTAGTGTTCCAAAAATTACGGTAACTATATATGAAATCAATATCTTGTGTATAAAAATTAAAAATCATAAAAACTATTGTTATTAGGATGGAAATGTGCGCAATATTATCAAATTTTACAATTTTAAATGCATAATAGGTCATCCAAGAAATTTAAGGTGTTATACGATTAAAATTGTAAAATTTGGAGGTAAATTTATCTATTCAGTCAAAATAAATTTTTAAAATCACAATAATATTAAAATTATTTTTCAAACTGTCTTTACAAATTCAAACCCTAATTGGAATCAAATCAACTATAAAAAAAAAAAAAAATACATAAATAAACAATGGATTGCCATTACCACTTAATATTATGTTTTGAGCATTAACACAGAATCGATAAATAAAATAGTAGAATCTGATTCTTTGCCCAGGTTAAATTTGTATTTACTGCCGGTACATTGTATTCAATAAAATTGAAAATTAAATGCCGAAATTTTTAATTTTGAATTAGAATTAAATAATTGATGCGATGAAATTTTTGAAGTGGAAAATATTGCAAATATTTAAAATAAAAAGTATTTAAAAATTTAAATGAGTGTACTATAATATTGTGAAAGACTATTTAATTTAAACTACTTCAATCCAAGGACAAGCAGCATGGGAAGAGCAGAAAAGTGGACCCTTAGCTTACAAAGAGGTATGCAAACTTTGTTAATTTAATAATAAATAAAGAATTCCAAATCCAATTAATTAACTCAACTTCAAGACATTGTAGATAAATATAGGTAAGAAAAAACTTTTAGCTATGCCTTGAAGGAATAGGAAATTTGAGTGGTGTAAACGAATGTCGTCAACAACAAACTTTGTTAAAATATTAAAGTAAAGTTTAAGGTTGTGTTTGATAATATTATTTTATGTAGTTTTTATTTTTTTACCGTGTTGGGTAATATAGCGTTTGAATTAGCTTTAACCGCTCAAAGTAACATTTCATAAAAAATTAACTTATGTAACGTCTAGCTTTTAGCGTTTTATGAAAAATTACTCAAAAAGCTAATAGTTAAATGCTGTTAAAACAGCTAACAACTATTAAAATTGTTAATTTTTAATTAAGCAAATAGGCATGGCCATTGGTCGGCGCTCAAAAACTAAAAAGTAGGCTAATTAAATGTAATGCAGGTGTTGCCATCCACTTCCAACTACTCAGACCTCCCTTCACAACTGCCCTAAGTTATATGTCAAAATACTACTATAACTTTGTCTTTTACTAATTGCATTGCTAATTAACTGATTAACCCAATATATAATTTTCCTTCCAATCACATAATTGAATTAGACTTGCTTAAACTCGGTTTATGAATTCACCCTTAAATTAAAGTAATCAACATAGAGATTTTCAAAAAATTGTTCGCATTTTATATATTTTTTTCCTTTTAATGGTTTTCATTGGTTTAATTTATGGATGTGTCTATAAATCGGATCTAGGTAAGTTAGTATCACAAAATAACTAAAAGCAGTTGGATAAGTGCAAATTTACTGTTTTTTTTTTATTTTTTTAGAACTTTACTATCAAAATTAGAGGTTTAAATTCTGAAGTGGCTGCACTTGAATACAATCCTGACCGGGGAGTAAAAATACATGTCCAAACAAGAAATAATAATAATAATAAGAAGAAGAAGAAGAAAATTTTACATATTATTTAATGAACTTATTAATTTATTAATATTAATTAATTCTCCATCCACATTATCAAAATTTTAAATCTTACTACACAGCACTCTTGAATATCAGGTTGATACGAAGAATATGCTTTTAAAATCACTGAAACAAAGAAAACTTAGTTTCAAGTATACATAAATTGTTGTACTTCATGATGCCCTATATTAATAATATTTCCGCATAAATTAATTTAAAAATATTCTTAATTGTAAATAATATAAAAATAAATTAGATAAATATATTTATCAGAGCTGCCTTTTAATTACCTTAGAAAAAATAGTCTCACTTTCTCTCACAACCACATAATATTTTCATTTCGATGCTGTCACAAACAACATAATGACCATGCATTTTTCTTTTCCCTCCTCTTTTATAAACCCCTCTCTCTCTTCATAACATAACTCACACTCTGCAAGATCAAAAAAAAAAAAAAAGCAGTCTTCCCTCCCTTTCCTTCTCTCTCCCTAAAACAATCATGGGGGCTCGTCCGCGTTTCGAGCCAATCACGAAATGTAACAAAGAGGGAAGATCGAACCAGGCTATAGCTGCAGACTTAGATGGCACTCTTCTTGTGTCAACAAGTGCATTTCCTTATTACTTGCTTGTTGCACTTGAAGCAGGAAGTCTCTTAAGAGCTATAATGTTATTAGTAACTGTTCCATTTGTTTACCTTACCTACTTGTTCATATCTGAAGCAATGGCTATCAAGATTTTCGTGTTCATTACTTTTGCAGGACTTAAAATAAGAAACGTAGAGCTTGTTTCTAGATCGGTCTTGCCAAGATTCTACGCGGATGATGTTCATCCAGAATCTTGGAAAGTATTTAATTCTTTTGGAAAACGATATATTGTAACTGCAAACCCAAGAATTATGGTTGAGCCATTTGTCAAGAACTTTTTAGGAGCTGACAAAGTTCTTGGAACTGAATTAGAGGTGTCAAAATCAGGAAGAGCAACTGGATTTGTCAAGAAACCTGGAATTCTTGTTGGAAAACATAAAAGAGATGCAATCTTGAAAGAATTTGGGACTAATTTGCCGGATTTAGCCTTGGGTGACAGAGAAACTGATCATGATTTCATGTCCATATGCAAGGTTAGATCTCAAGAACTAATTTCTTTCACTTCATTTTTGTTTCTTGTTTTAATTTTATCTTCTTTTGTTGCTTTTTAATGAATTTTTAAATGTCTGAGCTGTTTCTTATCTCAAAATAACCAGTACAGTGTACAACTTGTCTGTATTTATTGTGAGCTTTCCTCTTTGGTGAAAGTGTTTATGGCGACTCTATTTTCTCCATGAACTCCTCTAATTTCGTGTCCTCTTTGAACTTTTATTTTTATTTAAATAAATAGATTTTTTAATTATATATATATAGAGACACACAAACACCAAGAACATTTAAATTTGCTAACGCCTTCCATGTTTGAAGGTCTTTAATATTGTTTTCCTCTATTTTTTTATTTCTATTTTTTCTTTAAGTTTTCTCACGAGTATTTCCACACCTCTTTGACACGAGATTGATCTTACTTCGGGTTCATGACTGCCTCCCACAAGTATTTTTTTCAATTAAAAATTGACAAACCAAAAAACATTTTTTCTCATTTCTCAAGCTGTTAGAACACTACCATGCTTTCTTTATGTCTAAACAACCGAATTTGATATATGGTGTCATGCGTTCTTTATGTTTAGTATATTTTCTAATATTTGATTATGTAATATTCTAATGACCTAATGAAACGTTTTTTTTTTTATTTCATTTTATTTTTTAAATAGGGTATTAAGGTTTTCATCCACTGGACAAATTATTTTACTCTCTACAGTTAAAAATGCATTAAGATCTCCTGATTTAAAAAAAAAAAAAATTAATTTTCTACGCTATATGATGTCCGTTAACGTTGTCTAAATGTATATTTTATTTTATAAATTAATTAGTTTTTGGAAATTAAAGAGGGAAAACTGTAGAAAAACAAATGAACAGAAATCTTGGTTTATTGTTCATGTTTCTAGAATGAGACCGTCTCATTTTATTCACTTTTTTTTTTAAAAAAATATAGTTATTATCCTAGCTGGCAGGGTGATGGTAAGGAAATTTGGTACGCGCTTATGCACAGAAAAATATTAGTACAGTCCTTTTTAAATTTTCATAGTCTATAATAACAAACTAATTGACAAAAGAAATTGGGTCCCACTTTTCGTTTAATTCATCAAGCATATGATACGTTTACATCTGTTCTTTTAATGTCTTATCATGTTAAAACTTAAATAGATAGTTATCATTATAATAAAAAAATAACATGTTCAAAAAAAAAAAACAATGGAAATAATAATTTGTAATAAATAATACAAAAAATGAATTAAATTAATAACTGGTTTGCATTAATAGCATTAGAGTTGTTTGCAGAAATATAAATAAAATTATAAAGTGTAGGTGATCTCATACACCAAATCAATAAAAAAAAAAAAAAGATATTTTAAATTCTAGCTTATGGTTAAAAGTACTCTCATTTAAAGCACACACAAATTATGATTAATTTGGTGTATAGGTGACATTTACATCCCATATAGATATGTTTTTCTCTTTTTACTTTCTCCCTTTTGAGTTTGAAAATTTTTTCCATCCCCTTAATGTTAAATTACAATTGAAATTTTAATTAAAGTCAACTTATTTTAGTACTCATTGCCACACTAATTATGTAAGTGTAAGTATTTAGTAAGGTCGTAAGTTCAATCTTCATAAATAGAGAAAACACTCGCTGAGAATAATTTATCATTTTGTAGGCTGATCCGGTTCAAACATGATTTAATTCTAACTCAGTGATTATAGATACATGTGGTTGAGAGAAAATATATATATAGAGAGATATATATATATATATATATTTGACATGAATTATTTGCGAATTAAATTTGCAGGAAGGATATATGGTGCCAAGAACAAAATGTCAGCCACTGCCGAGAAACAAGCTATTAAGCCCTGTAATATTTCATGAAGGAAGATTAGTTCAAAGACCTACACCATTAGTAGCTCTCTTAACCTTTTTATGGCTTCCAATTGGTATTATTCTTTCAATTCTTAGGGTTTACACAAACATCCCTTTACCAGAAAGACTTGCATGGTACAATTACAAGCTACTGGGAATTAAAGTATCAGTTAAAGGCACACCACCGCCTCCGCCAAGGAAAGGCCAAAGCGGTGTTCTTTTAGTCTGCAACCACCGCACAGTTTTAGACCCAGTAGTTACAGCAGTTGCCCTGAAAAGAAAAATCAGCTGTGTTACTTATAGTATAAGCAAATTCTCTGAAATAATTTCTCCAATTAAAGCTGTTGCATTATCAAGGGAAAGAGAAAAGGACGCAGCAAATATCAAAAGATTATTAGAAGAAGGTGATCTTGTGATTTGCCCTGAAGGAACTACTTGCAGAGAACCATTTCTGTTAAGATTTAGTGCTCTTTTTGCAGAACTTACTGATAGAATAGTTCCGGTTGCTATTAATACAAAACAGACTGTTTTTTATGGCACCTCAGTTAGCGGGCATAAGCTATTGGATCCTTATTTTGTTTTCATGAATCCAATGCCGACTTACGAAATTACGTTCTTGAATCAGTTGCCTGCTGAGCTTACTTGCAAAGGAGGGAAATCTGCCATTGAAGTTGCTAACTACATACAGAGGGTTCTCGGTGGTACTTTAGGGTTTGAGTGTACTAATTTCACTAGAAAGGATAAGTATGCTATGCTTGCTGGCACAGATGGTCGCGTTCCCAGTCCAACAGCTAAGAAGGAAAAGGAAAAAGAAAAGGAAAAGAATTAAGAAGTGGCGAAAAAAATTCGCTAAATTTGAAGTTATATTGTTTTGGTGATCATATGCATTTAAAGTTTATTATAAAAATAAACATTGAGGTTGATGATGTTTAATTGGTACCAAATAATTAATTAATTAAATGAACCCTTTTTTCGAATGTATATTTAATTTACTATTCAATATTAATTTTGATATAGGAATTAATTTTTATTGTATTATCACGAATTGTTTCTGTAACTTTTTTTTTACTTATCAATGAGAAAACTACACTACGATCTATGTAATTTGCGAAATACAACTAGTTTGTCCCTATCTTAGAAAATATATTAAAATTTCCTTATAATGTATTTTCGTTAGACTATAATGTCCTTCCGTCCAATTTTTACTATCTTTTCCGTTAAATACCTCATGAAATAACGAAAATACTTTTTATTTTTAAAAATACAAAGACAAATTAGTTGTATTTTTTAAATCATAGAAACTGCACTGTAATTTTTCTGGTATAATATTTGAGCATCTTTCCTTTAACGTCTATATTTTCTTATTGACACAATGTAAAAGATGCAAAAATTAGACAAAATAATCTAACAATGTAACAAAAGCAAAATATAAAAAGAAATTAATATATTTTAAAAGAGACATACACGAGTAGTTGTATTCGCAAATTACAAGACTCGAATTATAATTTTGCCCCTATTAAGTTGATTCTGTTTAAATTCAAATTTGAAATATATTAGTCCTGTAAAGGAGACAATGTTGAGGTAAACGGTGGCCGCCTAATTGGGGCCACAAAAGTGGTGGTTGGTGAAATGTGATGAATGGCATAATTCAGAAGATATTGATAAAACTGCCTTTATTGCGCTGCGGATTTATAGGCGTACAAAATAATTGCTGCCAAACAAGGCTTGAGAGATGACAACGAGTCGACTCAGTTACATTTTTAATTAGCATTACATATATCTAATATAAATTAATTAAATTATTCTTTATTTTAAAATTAAAAATAATTTATTATATCTAATATAAATAATGATAAATTTAAAAAAAAAAACTATGGCTTCTTAAAATATTTAAAAAGTACTATAGAGACAAAATAATTATCTTGGGATAGAAAGAGTATAACTAAAGGCCAAATAATTTTTGCACTTATTATTTTAATTTTATTGATTAATACTGTGAATTATTTATTTATTAATGATTATTTCTTTCCTCTAACTACGATCTACCATCTTAAATTCATTGATATATAGACCACTAAGTCATCCGCTTTTTGCATTTTGCATTTTATAGAATTTTGATTTTTTTTTTTAAGAACAAAAGATTTTAAATTTGAATCATTTGAATGTTGACCAATTTTTAAATTTTATTATTCGATATTTTTAAAAAAAATTATTAACAATTATGATATTTATCATTCAATTTAGAGTGACATTACAGATATTAATTGAGCATGTGAGTCCATACTTCGACACATTAAGCTAAAGATAGTGACAGTCGATGGAGCACAATTTTCCCTCCCTTCGACAAATAATTCAACTAAAAAAAAAAAAAAAAAAGTTATTTCGATATTTTTTTAAAAAAAATTAATTAACAATTATGATATTTATCAATATCAATTTAGAGTGACCATTACAGATATTAATTGAGCCAAGTGAGTCCATACTTCGACACATTAAGCTAAAGATAGGACAAGTCGATGGAGCACAATTTTCGCCTCCCTCGACAAATAATTCAAAAAAAAAAAAAAAAAAAAGGAAATATAGAAAGAATAGGAAAGGAAGTCCATGATTGCCAAAGTTGGAAGAGAGAAGCTTGGTGAACATCGATGTAAAATATAATTGGTAATCCCAAGCTCAAGTAGCAATCGAAATTTAATAAGAAGCGATACTGACATTATTGAAAATCAACTGAGCGTTGCTTAGTTATTTCAAAATAAGTAACGTTTCGTCAAATATTTATTCATTATATATTTTAAATTTTCATTTGATATTTTTTTTGAGGCGTTCTCTTTCTTTACCGTTCTATTTTTTTTTTTTTTAGAAAATTTGAAATTTTTTATTATTTTTCTGAAATTTGATTCGTCTATTTAAATAATTTTTAATTTAATATTTAGTATTTAATATGGATGTTGATAAATTTTTGAAACCTAATCCAACTAATAAAAGTTTAAAATTTAAAGAGAAGATTCAAAGCTATAGCACTATCTTTTTTTTTAGAAATTTTTAAATTTTTATTTTTATTTTTTTTTTACAATTCAATTGGATATATATTTTTAAAAAGTTAACTTTCAAAATTTTTAAATCAATACATAGATAATTAAACTGTTTAAAATTTTCAAAATTCAATTTTCGTTGAGATAAACATTGATCACACAAATATTAACTTGAATACAACACAAATTCTCACTTTCCTAATTCAACTTATTTATGGTTGAACCATCTTTTTCATACATATTTGCAAGGTGTAGACTCCTTTGCCAACCTTTCTTTTGAATTATTTTATATATTTTTAATTTATTTATTTGAAATTTATATTAATATTAATATAAAATAATGATAAATTAGTATTTTTTTTTTTTTTTCCTAAATTAGTATTTTTTTTTTTTTCATGTTAGTAATCTAACTGCAAGTCTAACTAATAAATCTATCTATGTACAATCCTAATATCTATTTAGTATTTTTTTTTTTTTTCAATGTTAGTATCTAACTGCAAGTCTAACTATAAATCTATCTATGTACATCCTATATCTATTAAAATTTATTCCTTCATTTATCTAAATGAAATATTTGAATTGGATAATTATTCTTAAATTTATTTATATGTTTTAATAATTTAATTCTAATATACTACGAGAAAAATTGAAGTAGAAATTCATACTATTATCAAAATATGTTAAGGTATTTATCAGATTTAATAATTTTCTCTACAATATCCTATTATTTAAAATCAAATTCAAATATTTAAATATCTGAAATAATGAAATTTTCCAAGTTCCATTTCAACTATGGTCATTTATCATTATTAATTATTTTAAATAGGATTTTAGTTTCTTCTTCTTAACAGTTTAATAGTTGATAATAGTTTAACAAAGTAATATAATAATTAATAAAATAATATTATAATAAAGCAATGTAGTAATTAATAAAATAATATTTAAATCGCCAACGGTTTTTCAACTAGTCATGCTATATGTCTCCTTCCATCTATGAAACCAACCTATGTTTATAAGTCAATTTTGATTTCCTTTTTTTTTTTTTTACATTAAGATATATGGTTCACATTTAAACTGTTAAAAAAATAATTGCGAAATTAAAAATCATTAATTAAACTCTCAATTTATCCATTTTATAAATTCTTAAATAAATTTAATAGTTATTAAATCTATATAATTTTATCAATATTAGTATTTTCTATTGTGCTCTAAAATAAAAATAAAAAATAAAAATTTTCAACCAAAATCAAAATGGCATCGATGATTCAAAAATCAAAACCACACACTTTGAAAACGCAGGTCATGCCTACGTGGCAACAACCTGTTTGCGATTCTTATCCTGCGGGCACGTGGATACATTTATGGCTTTAATGCATTAAACGATACTATATAATTAGGGTAAAAATACGTTGACACGTCTGAAAGACTCATTCATGGAATCCAAAAGATCCAATCACAGAATTTTTGAACTTCTTTTGGTTTTATTCACCAAACCAAACCCCATCATTATTAAGAGGCACTTCGTATCAATTTGTTTGCGATAGTTAGTAGTTAGCAATGTTAGTTAGTGGAATTTCTTACAATTTAAAAAAAAAAATTAATACCTTTTTCGCTCTATCATTTTTGTATTAGTTCGATGAAGAAATTTCTTTTTTTCTTTCTTTTTTCCTTTTCTGTATTTCTGGAACGTTCGACTTGTTAGAATTAACCTATTGATAATATAGAAAGCGGATCTGACAGGACAACAATTTAAATTGAATGAAAAAACCAAAATTTATTTTTCTGGAATGTACAGAGATTCAGAAACATTTTCATTCAAATAAACCAAAATAGTAAGTAACAGGACATTACTGAATGCCATATTGGGGCCCCTTGCAAAATTCAATTGCTATTTGTCTTACTTTTCTATAAGTACCATGCTCTTAAATATAGTCTGGAATTGCAGCTTCCAAACATGTACGATAATAAAAGTTAAATCCATGATTTCTTTCAATTTCGATAATCCAAATGACTCATTGACTTCAATTTTATTTCCTTTCCACTCCCGGCTACACGCATTTTAATATTGAGTTTAATTTTTTAATACCCTATCACATGATTAATAATAAAAATCTTTATATCTCCGACAATCTCAACATGATTAACAATCAAAGTACTTTTACATCAATAATAAAATTTAATAAGAATGTAATAGACAATTTAAGAATTAATTACAATAAAAAAAATGAAAGTAAATTATATTTTAGAACAAATCAAAATTGAAAATAATTTCAATCTGATCGATGGGCAGATAAACATCTGATAATATCAATTCATGATAACAAATAATGTGGGCCATATTTAGGAATGAGCGCTTTGCCTCTTTTTATGACTCTGTACGGCGTGAATCTAAAATTGTTGGCAAATGAATTTTTTACAGTGAAATATAAATCTCACTTTTTTTTTTTTTTTTTTTTTTCTCACTTTTTTTTTTTTTTTTTTTGAGAGTATTTGAGGGAGGTGGTGATTTTAAATCTGAATATATCGACAGACAATATATAACAACTTAGTCCATGGCAAATCAAAATTGTTGTTTTAGAGACCGATTTTTTTTTTTTTTTTTTTGAGAGTATTGAGGGAGTGTGATTTTAATCTGAATATATCGACAGACAATATATACACTTAGTCCATGGCAAATCAAAATTGTTGTTTAGAGACCGAAGCAAAAGCCAAGACTGTTGATGTCGGTTTCTATTCGGACAGCCATAGAAACCCATAAAGCGAAATGGACCGACACTAATTATCATAACCTTCACATCCACATCATTATAGTTGAAGCTAATTAAAGAACAGCTAGGCCTGTCCTTCCTTCCAAAGCAATGCAAGCCCACCCCATGTCCCATAGGTGGTACCATAAAAATACCCTGATAAAGCCTAAAGATTGTCACACCCAGTCCATACCATCTCATCCTACCATAGTCTCTATCAAAAAAACAATATTGGGCCTCTTTAAAGACAC